GTGCCATGGGGGGGGGGAAGGAGGGGATTGTCTCCCCCTTCTCCCTGCAAGGAATGTCCTGGGATACTAGGACAGGATGGGTCACAGTGACACAGGGTTAGGGTGTTCCCCAGAGCTGCAGTTCCTCCTGGAAAGAGGATGGGGTGAGGGACAGAGCTGGACACCCCACTGTGTCCCCACACTCCCTCGGGACCCCCATGTCCCCTCTAGCTGCCCTCGACGTCCCCAGACACATCCTGCTTGCTGACGTCCCCAAGGTTGGTGACAGTGCCCACCTCTGGCTCTCACCTGAGCCCCTGGGCCACCCCACGTCCCTTGCCCCCTGGGTGTTGGGGGTGATCCTTGGAGATGCATCTCTGGGCTGTTGTGGGGACACGTTCCCACCTCTCGGCTACGTGGTGGGAAGTGGAGGTGTCCCAACTCCCTGGACGTGGATGCTGGGGTGAGAAGCCCCCAGGCAAGGAGGAGGAGGAGGACACCCCCTTGGGATGCTCTTCTCTGGCAGGGTTCCCTTCTACTACGAGATGAAGATGGCTTTTGTCCTCTGGCTCCTGTCCCCCTACACCCGGGGGGCCAGCCTCCTCTACCGCAAGTTCGTGCACCCCACCCTGTCCAGGAAGGAGAAGGTAACACCTGCCTGGCTCTGGGAGGGTCCCACCTACCCTGGAGGGGGGTCCTCAGAAGGACCCAACCCCCACCCCATGGTTGTCTTGGCAGGAGATTGACACCTACATCATCCGAGCCAAGGAGAGGAGCTATGAGGCCATGGTGGGGTTTGGCAAGAGGGGCCTCAACTTGGCTGCCACTGCTGCTGTCCAGGCTGCCACCAAGGTACCCGGGCTGGGACAGGGTGTTCTGCTCCCATTGGGATGTTTCAACCCCAGGGATTCCTGAGGGAAACCCTCTGGGGTTCATTTCCATCCTTTCTGCCCTCTCTGCTCTGCTTGGTTAACGTCCCCACCCCCCCATGCAGGGTTGTGTCTGGTTGTGGGGCATCCAAGACAAGGAGGACATGGAGGTGTTGGAGAGAGTCCATGGGGAGGGCAGGGAGATGCTGGGAGGGCTGGAGCAGCTCTGGGACAGGCTGGGAGAGTTGGGGTGTTGAGCCTGGAGAAGAGAAGGCTCCAGGGAGACCTGAGAGCAGCTTCCAGTGCCTGAAGGGGCTCCAGGAAAGCTGGGGAGGGACTTGGGACAAGGGCAGGGAGGGATGGGATGAGGGGGATGGATGGAAACTGGGAGAGGGAGCTGGAGGTTGGAGATGAGGAGGGAATTCTTGGGTGTGAGGGTGGTGAGAGCCTGGCCCAGGTTGCCCAGGGAAGCTGTGGCTGCCCCATCCCTGGCAGTGTTGAAGGGCAGGTTGGATGGGGCTTGGAGCAGCCTGGGCTGGTGGGAGGTGTCCCTGCCCATGCAGGGATTGGATCTGGGTGAGCTTTCAGGCCCCTTCCCACCCAAAGCAGCCTGTGATGGTTCCCTCTCTCCCAGCAGGGCCAGGGGGTGCTGGCCGGGCGGCTCCGCAGCTTCAGCCTGCAGGACCTGCGCTCCATCCCCGACCAGACCCCCCTGCACTACCAGGACCCCCTGTACCTGGAGGAGCAGGAGACCCCCAGGCAGCTCCTGGGTGTGCTGGGGAGAAGGTTTGGGGGGGGGGGGTAAAAAAAAAACAACCCAGCAGTTTCCCTGGAGGGGAGGGCAGGCTGTGAGCTGCTGTGTCCTGCCCCCAGGGTTCAGCCCCCGGTATGAGAGCGAGACCGAGGACGACGAGCTCTGGTCTGACTCGAGGGTCTCCCCCCCTCCCAGAGACCCCAGACCCCTCTCCCGTAGCCACAGCCTGCGTACAGCCAAGAAGAAGACACCAGCCAAAGAGGTACCTTGAGGATGGGTGAGAGGGGTGGGCACTGAGAGGGACCTGACCCATTGCAAAACCCTCCCCCACCCCCAAACCCCAGGGCTCTTCCCGCCTCCTGCGCAGCCGCATCAGGAGGAAAGTGGATCGTCCAGAGGAGGAGAGTTAATAGAAACCCTCTGCCAGGAGCCTTCACACCAGTTTTGCTGCTGCAGGAGGGGGCTGTGGGGTCTGTGTGTCCCCAAAAACCCTGGGGAGGGGGCTGCCCCCACCCCTGCATGACACTGACCGGACTTTTTATCTGACCTCTCTGCCCACGCTGCTGCCTCGGGGAGGGGGGCCCTTGTAACGCCCCCCTGTCCCCCTTCCTGGACCCCACTGATGGGAGTGGGTGCTGGCACTGCTCCTGTGGGGGTCCAGGACCTCCCCCCTCCCCATTCCTCCCACCTCATGAACACTACAGGCTCTGCAGGGCACCCCCCCCCCCCCA